GCCCAGCCGCTCCCGTTCACCTGCCGGCCCAGTGCCCCCAGTGGCCAGATCTTTCCCTCTGTGTCTGCCCCAGTGCCTGAGCCAACCCCTCTGCTGAACTCCCTGCCCGCCCCCCCCTTCTGTCTCTCTGTCCCTTGGCCTGAACCTGCCCCGTTGTCTGTCACATGACCTGAGCCTTCTGTCTCTGCCCCAGGCCCTGAGTCTTCTCCCTCTGTGTGCCTAAGGCTGCTGTCTGACCGGTCAAGACCCTTCATCCAACTCAGTTGGTGTGATCTTCTGCTGCGCTTCCCTTAGTCTGACCCCTGGGGCTCCCTGAACCATCTTCGGGTTGGGTCTGTCAGTCTGTCTTGTCTGGCTTGACCTCCCCATCTCTCTATCAGGGTGACCACCAGGACAACATGGTCCAAGTGAGGGTCAGACTAGAGCCCCCTCTGCCTGGCTGTCCGTTTCTCTGTGCTCTCTGTCCATCCCCTCCCCAATGTGGGCAGCGTGGTGCTTGGGCGTTTGCGGGGAGCTGTCCTGGCAGCTGAGAGTTGAGTTGGGGGCGGGTGAGACAGAAGGGTCAGGGGTCTGTACCTGACTAACGGGATGGGGTCTGCTGGACAGGTCGTGGGCTCGCCCTCTGGCCTGGGGCCTTTGCCTGCCTAGAGGGCTGTTGGGGAGGGTAAGCAGCAGGTCCCAGGGGGCTGGGGCGCCCTGGCCTGTGCGCACGGATGATAAGCCTGTGTCCATGCGCCCTTCTCTGCCCGCCCAGGCCTTGAGCTTGGAGATTAGCCCTGGCCACTTTCCCTGCTGTTTCTCCCCTGGCACTAGTGCCCACCACAGCCTGGCATTGGGGGCCCTCCAGGCATTTCAGGAGGCAGGACCGGGAATCCTGCCACTCGGGGAACTCTGGAATTCTGGTGGCAGCTTTTTAGAAGGCAGACATTTACCCTGGGCCCTTTTGAGTGACGTTTTTGCAAGGTGCAACAGATCTCCAAATGGCCTGAGGGAGGCTTGCTTCGTGTGGCCACATCCTGGGGGTGGATTTCAGGTTTGTCAGGTCTGAGGTTGCCCGGGCTGTTCTTGGGCCACTTTAGACGGCTGGACACTCAGTGAGGGTCCCACCTGACCCAGGAAGAACTTGATTTTCCCCGCAGAGGTGGGTGGTAGGGGTGCTGAGGGCACTTTTGTAAATAAAGAACTGAAGGGTTTGTGTTTATGCAAAACAGGCCTGGGGGTTGAATGCCCCAACCAGATACCCAGGTCTCTACCTGCACCCCTTCATGCCCATCTTGAGGTGGAGGATCTGTGGAGAGAGGAAGCCGGGGTAGCCCCTCAAAATGCCTGATAAGGTGACTAGAACGACGGTCACCCCAGCAAGTGCCCACTTCTCTATTTGCCCCTGAGTCTGTGGGTGGTGGTGATAAACTCACTCTTTCCCTTAACAAGCCCTCCCAGCTGCCCTCTCTAGCCTAGAGAGGCCCATCGAAGCTAGACATGGCTACTCCTGTGAGGTCCAGGCTGGCAGGTGAATGGACCGGGCTTCATAAGAAAGAAGCAGAGCTCTGGTGGACAGGAAATTGCCTTTGGGGTTTTGAAGGCGAATAAAAGTGTGTTTATGTGCGTGTTGTGGCGGGTATATTCCAAGTAGTTGGAAGAGCTTGTGTGAAGGTGTGAAATATCATGGTTATACTCCTGTGAGGTCCAGGCTGGCAGGTGAATGGACTGGGCTTCATAAGAAAGAAGCAGAGCTCTGAGAAAGACAGGAAATTGCCTTTGGGGTTTTGAAGGGCGAATAAAAGTGTGTTTATGTGCATGTTGTGGGGGGTACATTCCAAGTAATTGGAAGAGCTTGTGTGAAGGTGTGAAATATCATGGTTTTGAGGCCGCTGAGGTGGGGAGTAGCTCAGAGTAGTAGCCACTTTCACTCATTAACTCTCAATTCTCACATCGACCTCAGGAGGTATTTCCATGTTCTGGACACTGAGGCCCCGAGATCAGTCACATGCCCAAGGTCCCCCAGCCAGGCAGCCTCGCTCCAACAATGGTTAACTGGCCTGGGCAGCAGCAGGATGGAGTCCACCCAGGGCTGCACATTCTTCTGACCAGCGTCTTCAGTTGGTGCTTGGCCTGCATATGCCCAGGATGCCCCTCCCAGTTCCAGAGAAAGAACCAGGCTGGTTTTGGTTTCATTTCCTGATCCCAGAGCTGTGGGGGCGAGCCCAGGGCCTGGGGATGAGGTCATCTCCGGAGCCTGGGGGGAGTAAGGAAGTCCAGCTGCCAGACTCCTTCCAGGCTCAGGGATGGGAGGAAAGTGACTTTGATAGACCTGGGACCCATCCCAACAGGACCCACAGTCTGGTGGGGTAGGCAAACAGGAAACAAGCAGACAGACAGACAGACAAGAATTTCTGTGTGTGCTGAGGGGCGAGAGGAAAAGAAAGCAGGGTCCAGAATAGATCCTATTGAAGTGGCAAGGGGACTGTCAGTGACTGAGCTGATCAGGGAGAGCTTCTTTGAGGAGGTAGCATTTGAGTTGAGTCCTGAGGGATGGAAAGAGAGCATTCCAGGCAGAGGGCACAGCATGTGCAAAGGTCCTGAGGCAGGACTGTGCCTGGCATGTTGGAAGAGCCCTGTGTGGCTAGAATAGAGTGAGCAAAGGGGCAGGGAGGGGACGGGGGCAGGTTGTGCAGGGCCTTGGGGGGGACTTGGGCTTGTTCTGAGATATTGGAATGTTGGCCAGGGACAGGTCCCCTTATGAGCTAGGGCAGGATCCAGCCTCACCTGACCTCCTGACTCCTGGTGGCCCCCAGGATCCTTGGTAGGAACTGGGGAGGAAAAGGATCGCTCCCGGGAACGGGAAGTTGTGGATGTAAATGGTGTGTCTGTAGTGGGTGGTTTTCCAGGGGACCCCACAGCAGCCTTTCAACCTGCTGTGCGACCTCAGGGTCTCTGTGCTTCAGCTTCCCCACCTGCCATCAGGGGCAACCCCGGGAGTCCTGGGCTGCCACGGGGAGGCCCTGCTCTTCCTCCCTCTTATTACCTGGCCATACGTCCTGGTCCTGCCGCTCATCTGTTACAGGGTGTAACCTCAGGACCATGCCAGCCTGTTCTGTGTCTCCATTGGACTGCCCACCTCCCATCCCCCGTTTGGCTGTGTGACTTCTAGGGAACCCCAGATCTATCTGCTTCAGTTTACCCATTTGTCACAGGGGCCATAAGCCTGAGGTGCTCTGGGCTGCTGATCCCATACACCACACTGCGTGACTTTGGGAGGGTCTCTAGCCTTTTCTGTGTCTCTATTTTGTTCCCACCCGGTCACACCCCAGGGAGCCCTGGGCCACTGTGGGAAGGTCCGGCGTATGACCCCCTACTCTGCCCATCCACAGGCACCATCTGCGTTCTGCTCTCCTTCCCTTTCATCTTCAGCCCCTGCCTGGGCTGTGAGGCATCCACACCTGAGTGGGCCGCCCTCCTCTACTACGGACCCTTCATTGTCATCTTCCAGTTTGGCTGGGCCGCCACACAGATTGCCCACCTCAGCCTCATCCCCGAGCTCGTCACCAATGACCACGAGAAGGTGGAGCTCACAGCTCTCAGGTACTACCCCGCAGGGCAGGGTTGGGAGGGCACATGCACAGCAGGTGAGGACCAGGTCACACCCTCGGGGACTCTCAGCCCAGCTTATACGTCTGTAACATAGTAACCAGTCACCTGCTGCTGCTTGTATAACAAATGACCACCAAGCAGCTTCAAACAGCATGTGTTTATCATGTCATGGTTTCTATGGGTTAAGAGGCTGTCTCAGTGGGGTTTTCTGCTTCAATGTCAGTCTTGAGGCTAGAGCTGGTCTCATCTGAGACTTGGGGTCCCTCTATCCTGCTCATGTAGTTGGTGGCAGAATGAATTTTCTTTTTCTTTTTTAAAAACTCCGCCCACCAGGGTGGCCTCCCCCCACATCCAGGCACTGGCCTCCAGGACAGCCTCCTTCCTGTGGAGTCCCCACCTCTTCCCCAATGGCATCATCCAAAGCTACGAGCTCCAGATGCACAGGGCTTGCCTTCCGCACACAGACGCTCCCTGCACCCCCAGCCAGACGGAGACGCAGTACAGGGGCCCGGGGCCCAGCGCCAGCCTGAGGGGGCTCCAGCCTTACATCACCTACAGGCTGCGCAAAAAACAAACAAACAAACAAAAAAAAACCTTTTTTATTGATTTCAGAGAGGAAGGGAGAGGGAGAGAGATAGAAACATCAATGATGAGAGAGAACCTTGATTGGCTGCCTCCTGCACGCCTCCTAGTGGGCAATCGAGCCAGAAACCTGGGCATATGCCCTTGACCGGAATCGAACCTGGAACCCTTCAGTCTGCAGGCCAACGCTCTATCCACTGAGCAAAACCAGCTAGGGCTGAATTTTTTTTCTTTTTTAAAAATTGATTTTTAGAGAGAGAGAGGGGAAGGGAGAGGGAGAGGGAGAAACATTGATGTGAGAGAGAAACAATGATAGGCTGCCTCATGCATGCCCCCTACCGGGGATCAAGCCCACAACCCAGGCATGTGCCCTGACTAGGAATCGAACTGGCAACCTTCCAGTGCACGGGATGATGCCCAACCAACTGAGTCACCCCGGCCAGGGCCAGAATTCAGTTTCTTGCAGACGGAGAGCTCATGGTGGCTTGCTGATTCTTTGACACCAGCAAGGGAGTCAGATCTCAGGGATGGCTTACGCCCTTTTTCTAAGAATCACCTGAGAAGGCCAGGCCCACCCAGGGTAATCCCCTTTAATTACACCTGAAAAATCCCTTCACCTGTAGCACAGAAGTTGCCTAAATATGGGTGTGCTATCCCATCGTATTCAAAAGCCCCATCCCCAAGGGGAGGGATTAGGCACGGCAGGACCGGGGCATGGGAGTCTCCAGAGCCATCTTAGAATCCTGCCTACGACCAGTTGGTGCCCAGCGTATCCAGCACTTGCTTGAGGTGCTAAAAGGAGGCTATTCTGGATCTGATGATCATAGGAGCATTTGTGATGAGCTTGCTGTATGCCAGGCACAGTTCTGGGCCCTTCACATGGTCCTCTTCTTTAATCTTCACAACACACCCAGGTTGTCATGTGCCTAAGGCCAGACCACAGTGCCTGTGGGACATGCACATTAAGAAAAAGGAGGTGGCAGTTCCAGCCCAAAGGGAGAGTGCATGTGAGGGTCGCCAGTGTTGCTGGAGCTCAAAGAGCCCAGCTGACAGTTGGCCCCCGGTAAGTGCATGCTACTATTTTGTAGCATCTTTGTTGAGGGTCCTGCCTGCCTCCAACTCAGCCTGTTTGGTCCCAGTTTGGTCTGCCCCCCACCCCTGTCTTTGAGTTCCCCATTATGGCTGAGAGCTGCAAGCACTAACGACACGGGTTGCTCAATGCCCCGGCCCCTGAGGGCCCCAGATGTTAGGGGTCAGGCTACGCCAGGCCAAGCTCTGGTGCACTTCTACCTGCAAGTGCTTTATTGCCAACGCTGTCATCTTCACTGTGACCTCTGGGTATTGTTCTTACATTTATTTATTTATCTATATTTTTATTGATTTCAGAGAGGAAGGGAGAGAGATAGAAACGTCAATGATGAGAGAGTATCATTGATCGGCTGCCTCCTGCATGCCCCCTACTGGGAATTGAGCCCGCAACCCGGGCATGTGCCCCAACTGAGAATGAAACCGTGACCTCCTGGTACATAGGTCAGTGCTCAACCATTGAGCCACACCGGCTTGGCTGTTCTTACTTTTAGAAAGGGAAACTGAGTCCTGGTGAGACCCAGAGGTTGCTCCTCCCCTGACCTTCCTAGCCCCTGAAGGGATATCACGCCGGGGCTGCAGGCAGGTGCAGACCCAGATGATCCTAGACCTTGCCCTGCTGAAGCCCAGGATCTTGGTACCAAGAATTCCGGAATCCTGGCTTCTGAGCATCTTGGGTTCTCAGACTTGACTGGACCCTACTTTGCCGAGACTCTGCATCCCAGCCCCTTGTCATGGTGGTTGAGGGTCAGAGTTGTAAATCATCGGACAACATGCAGGCTGGGTAAGCTGGGGCCAGCAGGGGCTTCCCTGGGGCCACCCAAGGTTTGGTGGCTAAAATTATCTGTCACCCAGAGGTTCCCCAGACACCACAAGCAGCTCTCACTGTGTGGCTGCCTGGAGAGGAAGTGGCCCTGTGGTTTCCTGGGCTGCCATGCTGACGCCTCGCCTGTCCCCACCAGGTACGCCTTCACTGTGGTGGCCAATATCACTGTCTATGGTGCTGCCTGGCTCCTGCTCCACCTACAGGCCTCTGCAAATACGGGGCCCACCCCGGATGTCAGTGACCAGCTGGGGGTCCAAGATGTGCCAGTATTTCGGGTGAGCTGGGGCCGGGGTGGGGGCCAAGGATGCTGCTGGCAGGATGGGACCTCCCCCAGGCCCTGAACTTGGGCCTGGGCCATGAGAGCCACTGCTGATGCCTTTTCTGCGGATCCTCAGAACCTCTCCCTTTTGGTGGTGGGCATTGGTGCCATCTTCTCACTGCTGTTCCACCTGGGCACCAGGGAGGGGCGCAAGCAGCTGGTGGAGGAGCCGGATGAGCACAGCCCCCTGTTGGCCCCCACCACGGCCCGGCCCTTGCTGCTCTGGAAACACTGGCTGCGGCAGCCGGCCTTTTACCAGGTATGTGATGGGGCAGAGCTGGCTGGAGTGGATGCCGTCTCCCACCTGGCCCTTACTCTGGGGCTGCAGGCAGGATGGCCAGTAGATGAGCAAACAGATTTTCCATTTCACAGCAGGGCAGACATTGCTAATCAATTACTGCTCTCTTCTCCCCGTGACCAGCTATGGTCCCTAATAGTGGATCAGGTGTCCCTGCAGCTAGGCCCTGAGTGTCCCCTGCTGGTGGAAGTGGAGAAGGGCCCTGTCTGACCCCTGAACCAGTCAGTCCCTCTGTTTGCCCATAGGTGGGCTTCCTGTACATGAGCACAAGGCTCATCGTGAACCTGTCCCAGACGTACATGGCCATGTACCTCACCTACTCCCTCAACCTGCCCAAGGTGAGCTGGGGCGGGCGGGCCAGGGCTGTGGGGTGGGTCCTGAGCCCAAGGAGGCCCACCTGACACGCCCATGTCCCCCAACAGAAGTTCATCGCCACCATCCCACTGGTGATGTATCTCAGCGGTTTCTTCTCCTCCTTCCTCATGAACCCGATCAACAAGTGGATCGGGAGGAATGTGAGTGTGTGGGTTGGTGGGGGGCGGGGGGCATGCATAGACAAGGACCCTCATAACGCAGATGCACAGAACCCAGGTAATTGCATACCTCAGCTTCTACACTTTGTAGCTGCCCTGTGTCGCAGATCCATGTTCTAGAATCCTGGCTTCTGAGTGTCTTGGGGCTGCAGAGCTCTAGAAATTTCTGTGCTGACCATGTGCTAGCCAGGGTGGCTATGGAGTACTTGAAATGTGGCAGGCATGATGGAAGAACTGAATGTTTTATTAAAAATTTTTAAAATGTATTTTTGATTTCAGAGAGGGAGAGAGAGAAACATCAATGATGAGTCATTGACTGGCTGCCTCCTGCACTGGGAATTGAGCCCATAACCCAGGCATGTGCCCTGATCAGGAATCATACCATGACCTCCTGGTTCATAGGTCAATGCTCAACCATTGAGCCATGCTGGCTGGGCCATTTTATTTAATATTAATTGATTTGCACTTAAGATGTAAATAGCCACCTGTCCCTATACTATCAGCTCCTGGGTGAGGTCAGAGCTGGGGGCTCCTTAGGGATGGTCCAGCTTGACCCCCTCACTCTCTGGGGTTAGGGACTAGGTGGTGGTGGATTGAAGACCAGAGAGGGCAAGCGCCAGGCTAGGAGCTGCACAGTGAGGGGCCTGATGCTGGTCTCTCCTGCAGATGACTTACTTCGTGGGCCTTCTGGTGATCCTGGCCTTTGCGGCCTGGGTGGCATTGGCAGATGGGCTGGGTGTAGCTGTCTATGCAGCAGCTGTGCTGCTGGGCATGGGCTGTGCCACCATCCTTGTCACGTCCCTGGCCATGACAGCTGACCTCATCGGCCCCCACACGGTAGGGCTGGTGGGCAGGGCTGGGTGGGGGTTGGGGCCCAGGGCTCGGGCCCAGGCCAAGGGTGTTAACCTCCCTGCCTGTGTCCTCCCAGCACAGTGGAGCCTTCGTGTACGGCGCCATGAGCTTCTCGGATAAGGTGGCCAACGGGCTGGCAGTCATGGTCATCCAGAGCCTGTACCCCTGCTCGTGAGTGTGACTCATTTGTCGTTCATGTAGCAAAGGCGCACTGTGTGTGCCCGGTACTGCTCCAGGTCGAGGGCATTGGGGGAATGTGAGTGGGCAGTGCTACAGGGGAGCTGGGCTCTGTCACTCAGACCCTCAGAGCCTGGGATTTCAGTCCTGGACGATTCTAGACCACTGAGTTCTCGCCTTATAGAAGCCCAGGATTTGGGAACCAGAACTAGCCTGGTCCTTTGTCGTCATGGAGTTGGGGGTAATACAAGCCATGTTAATCACAGGAATAAATGTGTGATCCAGACCAGTGGCCAGGGGGGTGAGGGACACCACATACGGAGGCCTGACTGGTGCAGGAGGTCAGGGAGGACTTCCTTGAGGAGGTGACATTGGTCCTGAGACCTGGTGGGTATCAGAGTTCTAGGCAAATGGGAAGGAATAGCCAGTGCAAAGGCCCTGGAGCAGGACCAGGCCTGGTTTGTTGGAAGAACACAACGGAGGCCCGTGTAGCTGGAGCAGAGTGAGTGAAGGGGAGAGAGAGTGGGGAGAGGTTTGCGCAAGTCATGTAGAGCCTTGTGGAGGACTTGGGCTTTTACCCCAGGGGAGTTTGGGAGACCTGGAAGGATGGGGGCAGAGGGGAGGCCTGACTCAGGTGCTTACAGGCGCCCTCTTGTGGCTGCCTTCAGAAGGACAGTCTGTGGGAGGTGAGGGCTGGAGCCTTGGCAGAAACAGCCACACTGGTCCAGGTGGGTGATGATGGGCTGGTCCAGGTGGAGGTAGAGGAAGGGGAGCAGTGGAACGAACTGGGATAGACTTTGAAGGCATAGCTGGTAGTATTGGCTGAAGTGTCATGTGGGAGGAAGAAAGGTGGTCAAGGGTGACCCCCTGGTTCTGGCCCGAAGCTGAGGTGGGCGGAGTAAGAGGCTCAGGCTCGAGGGTCCCCACAAATGTCTGCTCACCTGCTCTGTCCTCCCCCTTCCCCAGCTCGGAGCTCTGCTGCAGAGCCTGCGTAGGCTTCTACCACTGGGTGATGGTGGCTGTGACAGGCGGCGTAGGTGTGGCCGCCGCCCTCTCTCTGTGCAGTCTCCTCATCTGGCCCATCCGCCTGCGGAGTTGTGAGTTGTAGACACTCCCCTCCATTCCCAACCTGGTCATGGGTGGGAGGACTGGGGCAGGCCCCATGCTCACTAAACCCCCCTCTCTTGCAGGAGTCCCTGGAACTCAAGCCTGACATTCCCATATGGCCTCCTGCCCTATGCAAATGAGCTGCAACTGCACATTTCACGCCCTGCTCCTCAGGTGCCCACCTTCCCCTTGCCTGGCTGCAGGGATGGTGGGTGAGGACAAGAGGGGCTGGACCCCACTGGCTCATCTCCACTGGGGCGAGACACATAGCTAGGCCCTCTGGTATCGGAAGCTCATGGGTCCTCATAGACTTGGGGTGCCTTTGCTATGTTGGGACTGCCCTGAACTCAGCTCCCCCTCACCCCTGGTCTAGCTAGGGTCTCCAGGGCGCTGCTGGCAGTGAATAAAGAGCTGCTCACGGTAAGGACTGGCCTCAGCTGTCTTCCTGGGCCTGGGACGGGGAGGGCAGTAGGGGTCCCTACTCTGGTCACTGGGGTCTTGGCTATTAACTCCCTTTACCTGGCCGACCAGCGCCCCAGTCCCCAGATGTAGACAGACACCTGAGGAGAGGCACAGGGCCCCCACAGGGGACGGTCTTTATCAGACAGTGGGCATGTAGATGGGTGGGGACCGCTGGCCAGTGGATGGGCAATAGGGTTCCAGGTCCCACTGCCGGTAGTTCTGGGTTGTGTAGAGCGGACGCTGCATTGCCGACAGGTAGGGTACGTAGTCCGACGCCCGCCCCAGCGGCTCCACCCCGTATTGGTGCCTGTTGACCACTGTGGGACAGGACCCCAGTCACCTCCTGGCTCCAGTTTCCTGGACCCAGGCAGTTTTACCCCCTCCCCTGACCCCTGTGATGCCAGCCTCACCATATTCCTTGCCCAAGATGGGTCTGTCTTTCCACAGCATAGCCCCCCACCGCGTGCTGGGGGCTCTGTACTGAGCGGGCATGATGGGGTCATACCAGGCAGTCTCTCGGAGGCGCTGGGTTTGGGCTGCAGGGAGAGTGGGAGAGGAGGTCATCTTTGGCCCTTGACCTCCCCTTGGGACTGACTAGGGTCAAGGTGGGCGGCCAGGCACGCACCTGAGGGCATGCTGTGCTTCCGGTGGCTGTGGCATCCATGCCAGTGGGCATAAGCCTCCCGGTAGGGGCTGTCCAGGGCCCGTGGGAACGTGTACCAGGCCTCACGGGGGTCCGAGTTGGTTAGGCCGGTGTACCATGTCTGGCCAGCGGCGTCACGTCCCATGGGTGTATACTTCCAGCGCACTGCCTGCTTGATGGCTGGTGTCCAGCGGGGCCCCTCCAGGGACAGGTAGTCATCACTAAGGGTGGAGGTAGGGGGCAGAGGCTAAGCCCGTGGCTGTCCCCTGCCCCTCCCTGGGCCACAGCTTGCCCATCTCTGAATGGGTCTTTTACCCTCACTGCCACATGTTGTGACGTGGAGGGTGCAAAGGCCCAGCCCACACCGCAGAGGGCCTTCCTCCAGCTCCACCTGGCCATGTGTCCTCAGCACTGGACACTCCCGCGCAGGCTGGCAGGAGAGGCCCCTTCTGCCACATCCTCCCCAGAGCCCTCACTTAACCTTTCACCTTTTCTTGCCTCTCCCCCAAGGGACACCAGGGAGCGAGGATATAAAAGCTCTGGCCACTCCTGTGGTCCTAAGTCCTTGTCCAGCCTCCAGGAAGCCCCTTGGTCCACGGGCACACCAGGAAGACGTGGTCTCAGCTGAGTGAGTGGTCGAGAGAGAGCATGTAGGGTGCCCACCCAGTCATCAGGGACCACTGGGAGTGAGGACAAGCTTCCATTTAAAGGACAAACTATGTAGCGATTCATTTGTGCCTATTCCAGAGGGCATCTCTGGTGCCAGAGCCTGTTTAGGTTGAGAACACAAGCAAACTGAGAAAGTAGGTGGGGGAAGGAGAGGAGGAGGGGGGAGCCCACTCCAGGTGAAGGAAGTAACATTGCAACTGCTCTGGGGCAGCAGACGGTGGTTTACGGAACAAAGGGCTGCAGTGCAGAGGTTAGTGCAGGGGTGGGCAAACTTTTTGACTCGAGGGCCACAATGGGTCCTTAACCTGGACCGGCCGGAACAAAAGCATGGATGGAGTGTTTGTGTGAACTAATATAAATTCAAAGTAAACATCATTACATAAAAGGGTACGGTCTTTTTTTTTTTTTTTTTTAGTTTTATTCATTTCAAATGGGCCAGATCCGGCCCGCGGGCCGTAGTTTGCCGAAAAGTGGGTTAGTGGAAATATGCTGAGGGCAAAAATCAAACCTTAATGAGGTACCATTAAAACTAAAAAGCAGAGCCCTGACCAGGGAGCACAGTTGGTTAAAGCACTTGTCCCCATATGCCAAGATTTCGGGTTTGATCCCTGATCGGGGCACATACAAGAATTGACTAAGAATGTATAAATAAGTGGAACAACAAATTGATTTCTCTCCCCCGCCGCCCCCCCCCCCCCCCCTCCCCCCTTAAAACAAAAAAAATACACCAAAAAAAAAAAAAAAAACAATTTTTTAAAAAGGCAGAAAACAACCAATGCTGTTCATGTGAAGCTGCAGGGAAACTTGCTTAAGCATAACCCTCACGTGGCAGTTCCTTCTGGACTGCCCGAGGGACAGAGATGTGCGTGTGCTCACCTAGTGAGCTGGATCCTGGAAAATCCCCGGGGAATGAGACTGGCTGCCCAGGATGCCTCAGCAGGACCACTGACAGAACGCTGTCATCGCTGCCATGCAGAGAAGCCCGGCTAGTTCTCCCTCCAGCAGATGATAGGAGCATCAAAACTAGAAACGCAGGGTCTCGTCAAAGGTGGAACGAGCCTGGTAGGTTCAGGAACATCAGTCTCAGAAACCTGGCAGACCGGACTTGCCACCCAAAGGGACATTTCAAGGTCGCCCGGGGTACCCCACCCTTTTGAAACTAAGATTTCTAAACTGCAAAATGCACATGGTTTGTAAAATGCAATTAAAATGCTCCAATGTAATATACAATGACCAGTGAGAATCCCTTTACCCCAGCCACCAGCCTGGACCTGGGCTGCCACTCCATTTCTTCCAGAAATGGGCAGCACATGCCTGTGTCCCTACTAGTACGGAAATGTGGAAACTTGCTTCCCTGTTTCACATCTTTTTTTCTCCCCTTGCATATGGAGCGGCACAAAGAACACTCATCTAACTTTGTTTTTACGGCTGCAAAGTCATCATAACTTATTCAGCCACTTATTAATGGGTACTCTATTGGGTTGAGTGTCCTCACAATGGACATCCACCTGGAACCTCACATGAACTTATTTGGAAACAGGAACTTAGCAGATAGAACTTCAGATGAGGTCATAGTGGGTAGGGTGGGCCCTGTGTCCTTATAAGGACAGGGGAATCTGGACACACACAGGAGGTCGATAATGAAGGCAAGTGTCCACAAGCTGAGGGACACCAAGAATTGCCAGTAAATCACCAGGAGCCAGGAGAAAATTGAACAGACTTTCTCTCCTAGTCCCGGAAGGAACCAGCCCTGCTGACACCTTGATCTTGGATTTCTGGTCTCCAGAACGTGGGAGAGAATAAATCCCTGGCATTCAAGCTACCCAGTGTGTTACAGCAATCCCAGGAAACTCCCAGATACCTACTCCCTGGCATTCAAGCTACCCAGTGTTACAGCAATCCCAGGAAACTCCCAGATACCTACTTTCTGTTTGCTGTGTGTTGTGCCCACAGCAATCATGTGTGACTTGCACATCCCCACCGCGCCCCCACTCCAGTCTCCAAGCCTGCCTTGCTCTGACCATTGGGGGTGGGGGGGTACCCAGGTGCAGGTGGATGGGAGGTGCAGGGAACAGATCAGTGAGGGGGCAGCACCAACGTGCCCTTTTTGAAGAATTAGACACGGGGGGAAAAGCCAAAACAAATCCCATCACCCAATCCAGAGAGGCCGTGCCTGGGGGTAGGGTGAGCACTCACCTGTAGAGAGGTGGCGGGAAGTCCTCTTCGAGGGCCCCCTGGGGGACATAGGACTGGGTAGCCTCCCGCCTCAGGGTCTGCATGTCTGCCTCTGGATTCTTGGGTGCTCCTGCCTAGAAGGCCTGTGAGGCCATTGTTGCAGCAACAAAGACCATTCTCTGTGTCCTGGCAATGCAGCTGGTAGCCTGGCTCCCATCCAGGCCACTCCCTCCTGCCCCAGCTAAGGGTTGACCGAAGGAGGTGGGGCCACACCTGGGTGGCTTGGGCCTCAGTGCTCCCCTCCTCCCCTCCCCACATCTCCACATGGGGGTCTCTGAGCCAAAGAGAGCTTCTGATGCTTAAGCCAGAACTGCCAGTCCCCAACCCCTCCCTTCTCACCCCACCCCCATCCAGTCCTCATGCTTCAAAATACATCAGAGCAAAAACCTGCGGACAAATGTTCATAGCAGCATGATTCACAACAACCAGGTAGTGGAAACAACCAAAATGCCCATCAACTAAACACAATGAGGTCCATCCATGCCCACGCTGAAGTATTACTCAGCCATGAAAAGAAGTGCTACTGCAATGGGGAGGGACCTAAAAACAGGATGCTCAGTGAGAGAAGCCAGACACAAAAGCCAGTGTGTGATTCCATTTATGTGAAATGTCCAGGACAGGCCCATCCAGAGACAGAGAGTGGGTTCATGGTTGCAGGGGGCTGAGGGTGACTGAGTGGAGGTGTGGTTTTTGGGAGGGTGATGGAAATGTTCTGGAATTAGAGGTGCTGTTTGCACATTATAAATACACCAAATGCCACAGAATGTTCAGTTTAAGAAGGTAAACATTAAGTTATGCATATTTTACCACAATTAAAAAATAATAAAATCCACAATCTCCCCTCTTTTCACCACCTCCACCTGGTCCGGGCCAGTCACATCATCACGGGCCTGGCATAGCCTCCTCTGTGGCCTCTCTGTGCCCCTGCACCAGTGGTCACGTCTCCACATTCACCACGAGGCCCTGCGAGACCTGCCCAGGCCTCTCCCCGCCCTCACTCCCTCCCTCCCTCCCTCCCTCCACTTGCTCACTCTGCTGTACCACAAGGGCCTCCTCACTGCTCTCCAACACTCCAGGAACTTTCCTCTCAGGGCCTTTACACAGGCTGTAAAGTCCTCTGCCCAGAGGTCTCCTGCTCTTGTCCGAAACCTTCCTTGCTCAAACATCAGCTTTGTAGCAAGTCCTGGATCCAAAGCTGTCCTTTCCTAAAGTCTCCTTCTTCCATCACACTGCACACACCTCCCTCTCACAACCAACAGAAGCCCCATGAGGGCAGGTCTTGGGATCTGGTCTGCTTTGTTGTCCCCAGTGCCTAGGTCGGGGATCTGCCCCGGGAGGAAAAGGCCTGCAGGCTCTGCAGTCACAGGCAGCTGCAAGGTCCCGTCTCTGCCCTGGGCTCTTAGGGCCTCACCGCTGCACTGGCCTCTGCCTCACCCTTAACTCCCTTTCCCCAAAAGCCACATTCAATAATCAAAGGGTGCCTGACAGACCATGCCCCACCCACCCTTCAACTTTGCATAAGTGCAGACACTGGGTGGGCGATGCCCCCACTGCTGACTTCAGTCACATCAGGTGGAGCTGGCAGCAGGGCCTGCTCTGAGAGCTCCGGTGCAGCGTGCAGCCTGCAGCCCCACAGTAGGCCCTCCCTCCCCTGCCCCCATCTCACTGCATGTGGAGACCACGACCACCCCCCCAGCTGCAAGGATGGTGTGAATGCATGTCACCCTTATCCCTATTAGAACATGAAATCAGAGACACAGGCATCCCTCAAAGACAGCTCACCCAGGGCAGGCTGCTCATCACCTGTTTGTGATGTTCAGGCTGGTCTGGGGCCTGGGTATGTGCAGACTGCAGCTGTCAGCCACCCCAGCCAGATGGACAGCCAGCCCCAGCCGTGCATGAGCCCATACCTGGTATAATGACAGTGATACTCCACTAGAGGAGACACAAGGCTCACTCTGCAGCCCCCAGACCCGTAGGCCGGGGAACACACATTCCTCTCTGTTGTCTCAACTCCCAGGCGCGGGTCCTACACACAGAGCCAGCTCCTGGGCTCTTCGGCAGCTACGCAGGGTGAGGGTGTGGTAGGGAAGGATTGTTTTCTCTTAAAAAAACACTCAAAAATAAGATGACCAATCAAAATACACAAATCTATGTACACTGTCCTTGCTTGAGGCTATGGCACACAGATGCTGGGATGGGGCAGGGTCCCACCCTTCCCCAAATCCAAGCAGGTTCAGCTGATCACCCCTCCTAAATGAAGGCTTTAAAAGCTGTGACTCCGTCACCCCCAGGCAGGTTGGGTGGGCCCTGCCCTTCTCTAATTAGCCTTAAACATTTCTGGGACCCATCTACAAAACACAAAACAATCCCAAAGAAAAGTCACAAATACATATATACACATGCACACACATGGCCGATTGCGGGGGAACACTAAATGAGGGGGACCTAGAAGCAGAGCCAGAGTGACCTCCGCCCCGCCCCAGGCCTGCTCTGCCTTCTCGCCTCACCTGGGTTCACCTCTCTCCCTCCAATTTCTCCAGGTCTGGAAGAGAGGTGGTACCCAGCTTGGCCAGAGGACAACAGGGTGGGGGCAGGATCAGAGGACACCTGGAAAGCTTCTGGGGGACCAGTGGTTGCCCCCTCCTCTCGCTCTCCTCCCTGGCTTCCCCATGGTCACAGGCATGGTTGGACAGGACACATGGGATAGCTTGATGGGGAAGTAACCTGAGAGGAGGGTGAGGCACCCTTAGGCCACCTAGATCTGTACACCCAGCAAGCCGCAGGAACCGTAGTCCCGCTGGTGACAGAGCTCAGCTGTGTCCCCATCAGTGACAAGGACAATGCAGGGTCAGGGCAAGCTCATGATGACAAGTGGACCCAACTTCCGTTTTCCTGGAACAAGTCCATCTCGAGATGACCTCCTCTGGTGCACAGCCTGCCTGGGCCTGCTCCTGATGCCTGGCCCCTAGCAAAGTCACTGGGATAGCTGCCAGCAGAGGGACAGCAGAGCGGGCCGCAAGAGACCTATCAGGAGTCCTGTGGATCCACGGGCTGACCTGAACCGTCCTGCTGCTGGGCCCTCCCTTGGCTGACTGGCTTGGCATCCAGCTGTTTCTCCCGTTGCAGACGTGGGCAGTGGCAGTACTGGTGAACCCATGCTTCTGGGAAGAGCATGCAGCTCAACAAAGTGACGATGGACACAAAGGGAAGCAGGTGGGGTCCAGGGAGGCGTCCATCCCCATCCAAGTGTAGACGGTCAAAGCTGGGGCCTTGGGGCCACCTGGTGTGAAGGGAGCCGGAACCCCGCGTGCCTGCTGGTGCCCAACCACATCCCCACCCCAAACACCGCTGACAGGGTTCGCAATCAGGCTTTAATGAGAATCTTCAGAGTCTCTCTGTGCCCGGCTCCCCGCCCACCCCGGCTGCTTCCTCTGGGAACATGTGCAGGAGGAAGGGTCATGCACGTGATGACAGGTGGTGCTCCTCTGCCCTGATGGCTGGGCCCGTGGTTTACCGGATCCTGGTGAAGAGGTTGAGGACAGACACAGATTCCTGCAGGGCACACAGGAGAGAAAGCTGAGCCTGCAGCTGGACGGGAACAGAGGCTTCGGGCCAGAGGAGGAGCATGAGTAGGCACCATTGTTTCCTGGCACCCTGGCTGGGGGTGCAGAGCAATGCAGGAGCAGCTAGAGGGGATGCAGGCAGTCCCGGGGGAAAGTGACAGCAGAGTCTGAACAGGGCTGCTCAGGTGGCAGTGGGGGACGGCCCCCAGGATAGGCTGAGGGGATGCGCATGGGGGAGCACCTGGCGCTGATACCGACCCACTTTACCTTTGTCGAACGAGTTTTGCTAAAGACATTCCAGAACCTCAGGGTTTCGTCTCCAGCACCAGTGACGATGGCCTCTCCATCAGGGGACATGGCCTGCAGGAGGAGAGACCCTCATTGTTCTCGGGCCTTGCAGTTGGTCCCATGAATGGAGTCAATGATGGAGGACAGGTGCAGGGGGGCCGGGCCCCCACCAAAGCCAAAAACACAGGATGCCCCAGCCCCTATCTACTCTGTGCACTTGAGCAAAGGATCTGACAGTTTAAGCACAGAATACTTCTTCTGGAAATTAAGAAAAACACTTGAGGAGGGATGGAGGGGGCCCCTGTCCTCAGGCCCGTGCAAACAGGTTATCTGATGAACTGTCCTCAGAGATTTTCTAAGTAGTTGGATGGGGGGTTAATTGTGTTTCATCATAAAGATAAACTAATGTGTGGAGATTCTCAGGAGGGCACAGCTGCCCTTCCTCACAGAGCTGGGGAGTTCAAGAAAGTAGATTCAAAGTGATGACACAATTAACGTTTGAAAGCAGAACATGGGAGCTGGCCTGGATGACCCATCCCCACCCTACAGGCCCAGGTGGGGGCGGTTGCCAGCTGGATCTGCACCCTGCCTTCCCAGGGGCCCAGTGCTGGGACTGGGACCCGCCAGTGCAGACTCACCAGGTACAAAACTCGGTAGGAGTGCCCGGTCAACTTGGCCACCTGGGTCAGGGACGGGTACTTCCAGACCAGGATCTGGTTCTGTGAGTAGCCATGTGTGCTAACCTGTGGGATGTAGAAGGCACTGTCAGAACCTGGGCTCCCCTCCCACGACCCCAGGGCTCAGATGCAAGCTGTCCACTCCCCCTGATGCACCCACTGAACAGCAAGGACACCTGGGACCTGCCCAGCCCCTTACCCCCAAACTCTGGTTGATGCTGAAGGTGACAGGGAGCTACACTGTACCCAGAGCTCAGCCAGCCTCTGCTGGTGGTCAGCAGCACGGGCACCCAGATTAGGGGCAAGTACTTCCAGACTGATCTGGGTGGCAGGGTCCTGGCTTCACCCTAGGACCCCAGGGAAGGCCTTGCTGGGGCCCAGGGCTCCTGCTCCAGAACCTTCCTGTGCACACACAGAGGCCCTGCCATGGCACTCACCAGTTCATTGGCGTGCTTGGACCAGGCCAGGTTGCACACCTGGGAGCCTGTGTCGATGCACTGCAGTGGCTGCCCTGTGAGCGTGTTCCAGAAGCGGATGCAGCGGTCGGCCGTGCCGCCGCCGGATGCCAACAGCCCATGCTGATGTGGGGACCAGGCTATGGCTTTCACAGCTGCCAGGTGCTCTGTGTACTGCTGCACGGGACTCAAGCTCGAGTGGTTCCAGACCAGCAGCTGGGAGGGTGGGGATGGGGGGCGGCAGCAGCTGTGAGGCCCTCCATTGGCTGTGGCCCCTAGGCAAGCCCTCAACGGGAGGATGAATGGCTTAGCTCAAACCCATCATGGTCCTCCCTCAAGGCATACCCTTGTCACCCCTGCTCTATGGATGAGGGCTGGCCGAGTGGATAGGATATTCCCAAGGCCCGGACAATGAGGGGCCCAGGGCATCTACCTTGTTGTCATTGCCTCCTGAGGCAAGGAGCTGGTGGTCCGTGGACCACTTGAGCCCACACACCTCCTGCCGGTGGCCCTGCAACCGCCGCTCCGACTGCAGGGGCGGGGTGCGGATGTCCCTTTGCAGGATCATGCGATCCCGGCTCCCAGATGAGAGCTGGTCGGCATTCCAGGCCAGCGCTCCTGGAGACCAGACAGAAGGCTGGGTGAGGTCGAGGCCTGGCCTCTCAGAAACAGGGTGCGCTGGGAATCATCACTTCCTCATGCCTAGAATCACTCCCACCCACTGGGATGACACCCCACCAGGACCCTGGGCTCCTCACCAACTCGTGCCGTGTGGCCTTCCAGCATGGAGAGCTTCTTCCCCGCAGCTGCGTCCCAGATCTGCACAAAGCCCTTGTGCGTGCCGACGGCCACCAGGTTCCCCTAGGACAGGACCCGGCGAGAGCAGGCATCAGGCCCAGCCTCCCTGGGTCTCCCCTCCCCGCTCCTCGCATGTCCCTTCTGATCAAGTGACACCCACCTTGTCCTGGAACTTACTGGGGAGATGATTACACAACACATGGGTTTGTCAAAATCAGCCAACGCACATGTAAGACCCATGCACTTCAATGTGTGAACTTGCCTGCCTGAGCCTGGCCTGCCCTGGCTGGGGTGAAGGCTGGGGCTCTGAAGGGACTGCGCTCAACTCTATGTCTGTGGGGGGACCTGCCAGCAGCCCTGTCACTGTCACAGTCTCTGCCAGGCTGGGAACAGGCGGGATGCAGACATCGCTCTGGGTCCCCCAGGCCCCCAAACACTGCCGAGGACCCTTGCCAGCAAGGCCCAGTCAGACCTCCCCTGCCCAGCCCAGGAATGAACCCTGTATACTAACCCGCTCAGACCAGCCCACGGAAGTCACCGAGTCCCCTTCCACAGAGAGGTCACAGAGCCGGGTCACCTGGGGGAAGGAGGGAGCGGTCGGTGTGAGCTGACGTGCTGCCCACTGATCCTTCAAGGCCCCCTGTCCATTCGTTCATGCATCTGTTTATTCATTCAGTCACACCTCAGCCTATGGGCACTGGTGTTAATGCTGGGACCTGAGATAATGATGCTGGGGTGCCCAGGAGACTGCAGGCTGCAAGGGGACACATGCAGCACAGGGATGAGTGACTGGAAAGTCTGGGGAGGGGTGCTGGGGAGGTGACGAGGGCATCACACACCTGGGGGTGCTTCCAACAGGTGGCAGCCCTCTCTAGGGGGCATCACCACTTGCATTAATCTCTGAAAACGTCCCACCCTGGCAGGCGTGTCTGAGCCCATGGTGGGCCTAGCAGCACCTCAGAGTTAGTGCTGAGGGTGGGGTGGGGCAGCCCCCAGGCTCAGCCAGGCCTGAACACCCATCTCCCCTCCTCCGCAGACACAGGCAGAGGCAGAACTCAGGTAGAGAGCAAGGACTACTGGTCATTACAGGAGACAGCCCACAGCAGAAGGGCCTCCACTCACACCTGCCGACTATTCCCGAGTTCCAGTCTGTACGTGGAGGGTGGGCCTCAGATGTGAGAGGTTGGCCAGGTGCTGCCCCAGGCTCTGGAGCACCCAGCCACACTTACCCTTCACATGGGCCAGCCTGACACAATGACTAGAGGAAGCCACCCCACACCCCTGAGGCACACACACACACAAGCACCTGCACACACACTTATGGGCACTGGAGCACCCACCTGGCTGGTGCAGGCGCTCCACAGGTACACGCAGGTGCCCAGCCCCACACTGAGCACATTGAGAGATGACCAGTCCACCAGGTTCAGGTAGAAGTCGTCCTGCAACTCAGGTGCATCCAGAACCTTGAAGGGGATCTTGGAGATCTTGCGGGTGGGTTTCCGTGGGGATCGCAATAACTTCTGACTGTGGGGAGAGCCCAAGATGGTGATTTTCTGTCAATCAGCCATGTGGTTATCATTACTCTTTGGCTAATATTACTACCCCTGGTTCACATTAGTTCTTGGCATATCTTCTCCCGTTCACCTTGCCCCTCTGCCTGCATGATCCCCAAACTGTGGGTGACCCCATGGACACAAGGCCCTTTGCCCTTGGGTGTTTGGCCACCCCAAGACTCAACAGCCACACCATCCTCTCTGCTTGGCACCTCCTCCAGAGAGCCCTCCCTGACTCCCCTCTCCCCCAGTCTGGACCCAAAACCTTCAGGCTGACAGTGTGCCCCAGTGAGGGGTCCTAAGACTAACTGCAGCTCTCATGTACTGCCCGGCTGCTCACCCTGCCCTGTCCCCGCCCTCAAAGACCCCGAACTCACCTTTTGTTACTGACTGGCGACAAGGAGTAGGGAGACACATCATTTCCGTCATCAGGGCTGGAGCGCTTGGTACTGAGGGAATACTGGAGGGAGCGTGGACACATACCCACTGAGTGGACACTGTGGTCCCAGAGCTCAGGACCCAAAGCTTGGGTGCCCTGAGCTCCTGGTGGTTGGGGGGAAGAGTGAGGGTGCTACTCGCCCTAACCAGGAAGACCTCTAACTAGGGGTGTCCTGGGTTCCGGAAACTCAGAAAAGCAATCCAGGACCCTGCTTGGTGTGACTGCCAGCATGCTCCAGCCCCCTCACAGCCATCCTGAGGGACTAGAAGTCAGGCTCTTTCCAACACTGCCAGGGGCCCCCCTGACCCGGGATGGCTTGGACATGCTCTTTGGGGCGGCTCTGCTGAGGCCACTGTCCCTTCACCCTGCACCTGAGCACCTGCCCCAGTTACCTCTGTCTCAGCAGATGCCCAGGAGGGCCACAGGGCAAGCCTCGGGGCTAAAGGGGCCTGGCCCTGCCTTCTCCCACCCTCTCTGGGGTTCAAGGCCCCCAGCAGGGCTGGTGTGTGGGGGGAGGAGGAGGAGCCTAGGGAGGCTGAGACTGGTCTCCTGGAGGAGCCTCCACACAGCACAGGAGGCCAGGGATGAGGGCTGAGCCTGGATCAGTCATGGAGGAGAGGGACCTCTATCCCCAGCAGGAAGCATCGGTCAGTGTGGGCATGGCTGGCAGGCTCACCGTGAACAGGCCCTTCTTCTCGGGCGTGGAAGGCTGCAGCCTGCGGTCCTCCGTCTGTGGGTCCTGCACCTTCTCAATGCCGGCCCCTAGCAGCTCATTCTTCAGCAGGGCTGAGTAGGCCAGGCCATCTGCAGGCACCAAACACAATGAGAGGCTGGGGTGGGACCAGGTGAGGGGGTGAAAGAAAGAGGGTGTCTGTGGCCCTGACTCCTGACCTTTGCCATTGTCCGAGGTGGCATCCTTGGCTTTCCGGTTCTGGCTGGGAGACTTCTCATTTTCCTGCGGGAGAGGGAAGGAGCAAGAGGGAGGAGGGGTGAGCCAGAATGGCGTGGCCCCGCTCCAGGCTTCTCGCCTGACCCTCCCATTGGGGGTCCTCTGTCCTCACATTGATCCTGTGGAAATTGACACTCCAGTTGGCGCCCGCTCTTGAGGGGATGAAGCGGTCCCCATGCTTGCTGGGGGAGGACACGGGGGAGTTGGTAGGTGTCAAGGTCCGCCGCATCTCTGAGACCTAAAAGGATGGCAGGGTGGGGTTGGGTGCTTCAGAGCCACAGCCTGACCCACCCACCCTGCCTGCTGCCTTTGGTCTCTAGCCACTGACCGAGGGGTTCAATCTTGGAAACCCAAGGGCAGAGGTAAAACATTTGGGTAAATAACTCATATGCTGGACCTGCTGGCAGCTTTGTGAGGCAAAAAGAGGCCAAGGAGCAATAGAGCCCAAGACATTAGCACACTACAAGGTGGCTTTATATTTCTAAGCGACCACAGGACCAGAAAGTTGAAAGTTTATTCCCTGAGCACTGAGAACCTGTTGCCCTGCCACCTCGATTTCCTGCACATGGGACAGATCTTCTCCCAGAGAACAATAACCCAACCACCCGAACCGAGATGTGAAGGTGGGCGCACAGCTTCCAGCCAACCCTCTGACCCCAACTTGATTATCTGGTGAATGTCCTTATCTATAAGCGATCTGCTGTGGGTTGAACTGTGTCCTCCAAAAGCATATGTTGAAGTCCTAGGCTCTAAAATGAATGCCTGGTATCCTTATTAGAGTCAGAGATACCGACACAGAAAAGAAGGGAACATGAAAACGAGGCAGAGACTGAAGTGATGGATATAAAAGCCAAGGACTGCCGGCAAAACCAGAAGGATCTTCCCCAGACCCCTTAGCCCGGTCACCCCTGCCCCATCGGCTCCTGGGTCCCAGTACTCTGACCCCCTCCCACATCAGCCTGGCCAACCCAGGCCAACTCTCCTGCACAGGCTGTGGGGCCAGGGCTGAACCCCAGCTTTGTGTTGCTGGGCCCTTCACTGACTGCCCTGCTGGGAAAATGGGAAGGTGGCTCACATTCCCTCATCCCCCAGTCAGTCCTGACTACGGCCCAAGAGAAGAGCTGGTGCCCCCTGCAGGCCAGCAGGCACAGGCCCTGTAAATAAGGGGCCTCCAGCAGGAGGAGGGGAGGTGCACTGCAGCTCTGGTGGCTGTGGTGCCGTCATGAGGGAGTTCTGGGGGAGGATGTGTTTTTCCCCTGCACAGCACCTCCCTCTATTGCTGAGGGCAGAAGCCCTGTGGCCAACCACACCCTCACCCCATCTCCCCACCAGCTCCAACCGGGCCAGGCCAGCACTGGCAGGGGAGACCCCCGGCTACTCACACACGGCATTGTATTCTCGTTCTGGATGACAATCTGCCGAAGGAGGCGCCGCTCATAGTCCTGGTCCATGGTGAGGCAGGGCAGGTACGGCTGCCGGCCAAGTCAGGCCCCCAAGTTCAGCCAGCCAAAGTCAGCCTGGGGCAGGAAGGGCAGGACAGCTCAGCACCAGTGGGCAGCAGCCCTCACCACCACCCGGTGACCACAGAACCGCTTTCAGGAATGCCCTACCGTATGGCAGGTCCTCCCTCCCAGGAGCCCAGAGCTCAGGCGTGGCCATACCCCAGAGGCCTTGGAAGTCACAGGGAGATACAACCTGGACAAACAGGACTCCTCTCTGCTTCCTCTGCGGGGACCTTCTGACAGGACCCTTCACTGCTGTCCTGGTTAGGGCAAGGCTGCCCCTATCCCTGACCCCCAAGGGCTTACCCCAAGTCCCCCGCTCCTCCAACTCAGACCTCCATCTCATTGCCTTCTTACTTCGGATCCTCTAAGACCAGGAGCCATCCAAGGAACCATTTCCCTGGCTCCTTGGCCCCTGCCCCCAAGAAGGAGGCATGGGGCTGGGCATGGGTTGGGGCTGTACCAGGGAGGGTCAATACACTTCCCAGGAGTCTGCCAGAGCTGACTGGGCCCCAGGCCCTATGCAGGCACTTGTGCCCCAGGGCCAGGCAGACCAGGTTGTGACCCAAGGATATTGGCCTCCAGCTTCTACCCAGCTCCCACTGAACTCCACCCAATGTGGGGAGGCCTCTCTGAGGAAGCGGAGTGAGAGATCACCAGCAAAAGGAGGCTGGAGGACAATATTCCACAGAGGGGAGAGCAGATCTGAGGAAGAAAGGGCTTTGGGCGTTCCAGGATGGGGCAGAAGTGAGTGGCAGCCTCAGAAAGAAGGGTTGTTCTTTATGGCAGGAATGGCAAACTGGGGCCCAGGGACAAACCAGACCCACAGCCATACTCTGGCTGCTTTCAGAAGAAAACGTTTGCCAGTCCTGCCTCCCTTCAAGGCACTGCAGAGCACGGAGGGCAATGCAGGTTTCCAGGACAGAGCCTGGCACAGAGGGGTTCGGCAGACTGTAGCTTCTTGCTGTGGGCCTGCCCTGTGCCCCGGAACCCTGGCAGTCACTGTCCCTCTACTCCTCTGGCTGGAGCCCTAAGGCCCACACTCTGAGATATTTAGGCAGGTCTGCCTCAGTTCTATTCTCAAATCCCCAAATGACCTCTCTGATGAATTCCTGGCCCATCACAGAGACCAGGCATACTGTGTGGCTGAAGCACCAGCTCTAGCCCGCCAGGTACTTGTCCCTCACATGTCGTTACCGCACACACGGGAATGCCTTGATGTGGCCCAGTCCCGAAGCCAGTTGCTTGGTCAAAACGCAGGACACAGCCATTGGTTCCCACAGTGTGTTCCCGCCACCTTCCACATTAGTGAGCTTGCATGTTTTATCTCATGCTCCCTCCACACAGCAGCATGAACTAGGTGCTCACACCCTCATGCAGATGAGGATGTGAAGACTGAGTGAGGGGCAGCAACACCCCCAGTGTGCCCATGGCCCTCCCTCCACACCCTGGGGCTCGCGTGAGCCTGTGCTAGCTTGGAGCCCCAAGCCCCACAGTCCCCACCTCAGTAGACCAGCTTTGATGAGAAAAGTAGGACCGCAGCACCTCAGCACCCCTCAATCTTGGGTAAACCTCTGGGAGCCGCCATCCCTTCTTGGCTACATCCTTCCTGCTCCCCCCACCTCCCCTGCTGTAACAGAGGTCCCCAGACACATTTTGGTCCATTGTAGCCACAGGACAGTCTCCTGGAGGGATTGATGATGGCTTCAGGCCTTCCTTACCTCTCTGGGGCCTGGGGCCACATCCTCCACCTCCTCCCACTTCCTGCCAGCCTGGCCTGGCCCTGCCTAGCTCACAGTCCACCCACTGGCTTGCCCCAGAATGTACCTGCGCCTCCCTTCCTCCTCCAGATTCTCCCCAAAGCCCAGGCCTTGCCCCACAACACCCCTCCCCACTCACATGTGCCCTCCCCACATTTGACCACTCCTGTGGCAGCACAGCTGTACTTGGGACACAGAGATGTCTGTGCCTGCCTGAGAGTCTGTCCCAGGTGGAGACTCCTGTTCAAAAGGACAGTTTCCCAAGGGGAGGCCCAAATCATCTCGACCACTGCACCAGGCTGCATGCAAACAGAACTGAGCTCTAGGTCCACCTTGACCGAGCATCCTGTGAGTGGGGTTTACAGGGGGCTAGACACAAAAGGAGTAGCCATGGCTCCATTCTAGTAGTTCCAACAGGCAGTGGGCACTTTCCCAGATGTGGACCAGTTGGCTGTACCCACCACTTTGCAGACAAGAAAAAAAAAAAGCTCAGAGAGGCTGGCTAACTTCCCCCACTGGCCCTGCCTGGGCCTCATTTGCCACCCACCAGCGAGCTCTCAGGAGATAAGGTGGATGGAGGCTATGTCTTGGTCCCTGTGCTTAGCAGTTGCCTCTCCCCATGGCTTCCAAACATACTGTTGCTGAAAGTGAACTATTCCAGACAAAGTCAGCAGCTCACTCTCCCCAGGAAAAAACCCTAGGGGCCTCATATCGGGGACGGGTCACGCTATGGGTGGTCATCTAAACCTCTTGGCCCAGAAGAATTCACTTCCCCTGGAGACCACCTCCATTCACAGATCAATGGCACCACGTTGAGGCCGGCAGGGCTCGTCTGTTTCAGGATAGCAGGCCCCCAACAATAGCTTAGATGCACTCTGCACATCAGAAATTAAGCAGAGCCCAGAATGCTGCAGTCATCTCAGAGACAGAGTGAAAGACAGGTTTCCCAGGACGAGTTAAGAGGCGAAGTGCCATACAGCTGGTGGTGTGCTGAATTTGAGTCCAGAGGAATGTCCAGAGTGGCACACCCTCCTGTCATCAGCAGATCAGTTGCCCCTGTCTGCCCGCTTACACTCTGGTATGGCCACTTACAGAAGCATCTCACCATTTAGATGTGGCTCCTGAGGGCCAGAGAGGTTCCAGACTGCCCACATGTGTAGGGCCCTAGTCCCTAGACCCGTGGACATGTCACCTCATGTGGCAAAAGGAATTTTGCAGATAAAATTAAATCAAGGCCCCTGAGATAGGGGATGATCCTAGACTCCCCAGAGGGCACAGTGTCAACATAGAGTCCTTATAAGAGAGGCATCAGGGTCAGAGTGAATGATGAAAGAGGCTGTGCTGCTGGCTGTGAAGGTGGAGGAAGGGGCCGAGAGCCCAGGATATGGTGCCTCTAGGAGCTGGAAAAGGCCAGAAATGATTTTCTGTTGGAGCCTCGCGAAGGACCAGCCCTGCCCACACCTGAGTTTAGTCCCGTGTTGGACTTCTGATATCCAGAACTATGAGATAATTTTGTGGGTTTTCGGGTCTTTTTTTGTTTTTTAATTTTCATTTTTGCTAATCCTCCCTCGAGGATATTTTTCCATTGCTTTTTAGAGAGAATTGAAGGGAAGGGGAGAGACACAAAGAGAGAAACTTCGATGTGAGACAGACACACCCAGTGGCTGCCTCCTGCACTAGTCCCAACCAGGGATGGGGATTGAGCCTGCAACCAAAGTACATGCCCTTGACAGGAATAGAACCTGGGACCCTTCAGTCCATGGGCCAACACTATTCACTGAGACAAACCAGCTAGGGCCATTTCTGTTGTTTTAAGCCATCAAGTTTGTGGTGACTTGTTATAGCAGCTGCAGGACACACACTAGGGCAGGGCAGAGAAGGCAGTGACCATGCTGCGGCCTTCCTTCATGGATCCTTCTGGGGGGTGGCTGCTGAGAGGGTTCCTAAGGTGCTTGTGCTCAACACAGGCCTTTTCTCTGCCCAGTCCCATGTGGCCCACTGTGGATAGCCAACCAATCCTCCTGTCTCCATCATCCCCTCTCTCCATAACCCCACTCCCCACCCCCCTGAGTTCCAAGATCCCTTAGTCTGCCGGAGAGGCAGTGGGTCTTCATTCTGCCAAGAGGGACATTTGCTGACTGTCTGCCCAGAGGCCTGAGGCAGGTACCAGGGTTAAGCAGGCAAGGAGACAGACATGGTCCCACCCTCCTGAGCTTCTTTTACTAGTATATCAGAAGCAGCAAACCAGAAACATGGAACTAGGTGAAGAACAATTTTGGGTGGTGGTACCTGGTACCAGGAAGCATTTTAAAAGTGGCTCCAACATTCAGCTGTCAAAGTAAAGGCAAGTTGGAGGGAGTGGAGGGGGCACTGGATCCCAGCACCCAGCCTGGGATGTCTCTCCAAGACCAGGTACCCACGGAGGGACCCATGGGATGCCAGCACGGTGGGAGGGCTCCAGAACTAACTCGTCCCAGGCTCTGACCTGGTAAATGCAGGTTAACATCCCCTGGGGTGAGCCTTCCTGCTGGCCAGCAGGGATGTCGCTCTTGTTTCTAAATTGACCCGCTACCTTCAGAAGCACCCCCCCCCCCCACACACACATCAGGTTTTCTCAATGAGGAGGTGGAGGTAGACAGACAAATGGGTACATGTGGGGAAGCATGGGACTTGGTTGGAAAGTCTGTAAGGATTCTCTGAAAGGTCAGAGGTCTCTGGGGGACCTTGCCAAAGGTGGCACACACTGCCTTGACTTTTCCAAACAAGTCTGAGCCCCCAGGTGTTTACTTAGAGATGTCCTTGATTAAAAGACACTACAGACACATGTGTCTCCTCAAGGATGCTTACCCTGCTGATAGCATCTAATAGCTAATTTTAGTACAAGCTGTTGTTACAATAAAAGCCTAAGGAGGCAGGCAATCAAGGCTGTTTTTGGCTCCTTATGCCAACCAGTCCCTTAGCCTCTCCTCCACCGAAACATGTGTCAGAGTAATCACTCATCCGTCATTCAGGGTCTGTCGGTCAGTCCCGGCAGACACAGACCAAGATCTCAAGAGAGTGATAACTAGCAGGTCCAATCAGGCACAAATGCACACCCAAACCACGTGACCTGGGAAATACAAACACACAACCAGGCCTGCCCACCAGCCCAGAGACCCTGCTCCAGCCTGACCTTGGAACTAAGGCCTGGAGCTCGGCCAGTGTGCAGACTGGCTCATTCCAGAAAGCTGAAGGCCACCTCAGTCCAAGGACTGG